GTACTCGTTACAGTCACTGCTGGTATGCCGCCCCTCCACCCTGTCACTCGGCGCTAACCCCCAACTCGTTCCCCCTATTTGCGCCCACCGCTCCACGTCCTCCCTTTTCTCCCCGCGTCCTTCACACCGTGCGTCGCCAAGCCTGAGCTTCCATCGTATGGTTTTTCCCACTGTCAGGCATGAGCGGGAGTGTCTCGCCAGCGCATGGCATGGCGGGCAAGGTGTCGTTCGCCCGGCAGCTGCAGGCGCAGACCATCCAGGCCGAGGAGGAGTGCTACCCCACCCCTGGCCGAAAGCACAGCGGCGCAGAGCCTGTCTCGCCCTCGGTAAGCTAGCTTGCTTGAAGTGATTTTTATGAACGTACATATGTAGTATTAAAAAATGATAAATATGCATATAGGTTGATGCGCTATTGCCATCGCTGCGACCCTGCCTTTGTTCACGAGATCCTGCTATCATCTTCATGTATTGCTTGCCACCCTCCTTCCTTTCCCTGTTGTGTTCTCCTGTGGCCTGATCACCCCCCCAGGCGCGCCCAGCCATAACGATGCACACAGAGGCAGCGGACGGGTGGGAGCGAGGGCTCTGCGTGGCGGCAGTGAAGTTCAAGGCGCAACGCCTTTACATCAGTGACACACACCCGCCTAAGAAAGCCAGGTTGGTAAAAAAAGTTGCAGCTGCTAGCAAGAATGTTTTGAGAAGGGTTATGTTTTGACCCCTACCTAACCTGTTTTCCTGCTAGTTTTGCTAATACTCTGCGACTTTCTCTTCTGTCCTGCGTCTCCTGCAGTCGGCGCCTATTCAGGAAGCACGACCCGTCGCCCATCATGGACTTCCCTCTCGACCTCCTCCCCTCCTCCTGTACGCTCCTCATTCCCAAGGCCGACAAGACCATCACACTGCAAGGCCTCCTCAACGCATCCGCACCGTCCATCGAAACCCTCCTCCTGATCAACGGCTCTGGTGCACCCTCAGCGCTGCACAGCTTCAACGGCAGCAGGGGCCCCTCTCCCTCCCGCAAGGGCCTGCCGCCTCTCTCCCCTCGCGGCTTCGCCCCGCGGCTCTTCTCCCCGCGCACTGCATCCCCCAGCGATGCCGATTCCCACCGTCCCGTCCCCCACCGACTGGATTCCCATGAGGGTTACCATCGAGACGGTTACCAGCGGCCTGGGCTGCCGCCGTCGCCACCAGCTGTATGCTCGCCGTCCACCGCAGCAGCAGTGGCATATTCGGCAGCTCTGGCATCAGGCTCACCCACACCCACAGCCCCGCTAGGAGCATCATCGTTATCACCTTCAGCAGCCGCAGCAGCAGCAGGGGACCCTCGGGTGCATCCGCCCTCCCCGCGCATCCACTTCCGGCCGTTCAACGTGTCGGCGTCCTTCGCATCGCGCTCCATCAAGCGCCGCATCCCCTCTGCGTCCATGCGTGCCGCCTTTGTACGCCGCATGCTCAGCCCCAGCGCACGGCGAGGGAGGGCTGGAACGGACGGCATGGACGGCGACGACAGCAGCAGTAGCAGCACCCACCACTTCTTTAACCGCGCCAGAGGGCTCTCCCTCCGCGCCAGCCTCAGCAGTCATAGCGCTGCTGGTGCCACTGCTGGTGCTGGTGCTGGCGACGAGGGCCCTCCGCGCCTGCAGAGGCAGAAATCCTTCTCCAATCTCGAGAGCCTCATGGCTGCTGGCACGTGCTCTGGCACCTTCGCTGTTGGCTCCGGCGCTCCTCTCCTTGGCACCGGCGCTTATGGCGATGACGCTTCTACTGGTGCTGGTGCCAGTGCTGGCGGTGGTGTGGGTGCTTTCAGTGCGGCTTCGCTGGCTGAGGCGGCGCAGAGGGCAGCTAGGGCAGGGGCGATGGGGGGGGGAGGGGCGCAGCATGATTCCGCAGTCGGAGCCACTGTGCTTGAGCATGTCGGGCCGCTGTGCTCATGGACGACTCGGATGACGAGGAGGAGGAGGAGGAGCGGGGGAGTCAGAGGGACGGGAGGGAGGAGAGTGGCAGTGAGAGGGAGGGAAGTGAGAGGGGGGGAAGAGAGAGGGCAGGGCGGTTGGCCCTGCCGTTCGGTCTGCGAGCCCGGCCGTCCACGCCACCCAAGTCCCCGGCAGCACGGTCCTGCCAGCTGCTCTGTGGGCAGCACCACCAGCATCCCTGAGCTGGAGAACGAAGAGGCAGACGACGAGGGGGAGGAGGAGGGAGGTGGCGCTCAAGTGCGTCCTGCCACTGGTGGATGCATGAGCGCGGAAGGACGCGTGAGAGGAGGAAGCATGGGAGGAAGAGGAGTCGTGGGGCCCTCTGGTTGTGGGGCGATGGTACCGCCACCACCATCCAGCCCACCATCCGCACAGCCAACGTCTGACCATTCCTCGAAAGGCTTCCCCACCAGTTCCTCTCCAGCCACTGTCCTCCCTGCCCTTCCCACCTCGCCTGCGAGCCCTGCCCCCTCCAAGACCCCTTCTACCTCTCACTTAAGCAAGGTGCTTACTATCCCTAACCCCCTCCCGGCGGCCTCCAGTCTTCAGGTGCCCAAGTCGCCATCCAGCCCTGGCCCCGCTCAGGCCCCACCGCCCCTCGACTGCCCAAGGCGTTTTCGAATCCCAGCCCTCCCAAGGCTCCTTTCAGCCCTGGGGTGGCGAAGTCTTCGTCGAGCACTTCCCTCCCCCAGCTGCCCTCCAGCCCTCTGCCTTCCTTGGGGGCCATGCAGATGCCCTCCACCCCTCGGCCTGCGCTACCCCCTCTGTGCAGCACGGCCCTGGGGTCGCCTCCGGATCCGGCCTCACAGCCTGAGGTGGAGAGTCCTTGCAGCATCAGCAGCCGCGGCAGCAGCATCAGCAACCGCAACCGGGCCAGTTTCGATGTGGCAGTGAGTGAGAGCTTCAGGGGGGAGGAGCAGGAGGAGGGCATCACGTTCGTCACTGGAGAGTACTCAACCAAGGTATGATGGTACGATGTGCGTTTCCCAGATCGCAATGTGCTTGGTTCATTAACCTTATAATAAGTCTGTTAGCGCAAGCGCTAGTGCTAGCAGAGCACTTCATGCTTGCAATCTGTGTCTCATATGGGCAATCCCTCCCCTACACACGCTCATGCCTTTTACTGGTTCCCCTCCCCCAGTCACCTAACCTCCTTTCTCTTCCTCTTCGTCTCCCGTTCCCGCTCCCCTCTCCTTCCCACCCCTTCTCCCCCTCCCCAATAGTTTTCCTCCTCCAGCAGTCTCTCTGCCTGGTCACCCGCCCGCTCTGAGTCCAGCAGCAGCGCTCGCCTCTTCCGAACCTCTGAATGCCGAGCCTCCAGCGAGTGCAGAACCTTCTCCCGAGCCGAGGTCCTCCAGGCCACCGACCACTTCTCTCCAAAAACCATCCTCGGTAGAAGCGTCCTCGGCACTCTGCACAAGGGCACCCTCTTCGGCTCCACAGTAGCCGTGAAACGCCTTGAGCACGCAAGTGCATGCGAGGAGGAGGAGTTTCAAAGGGAAGTTAGCATCCTATCCAAGGTCCGCCACCCCCACGTGGCGCTGATGATGGGGCAGTGCCCCGAGGAGCGCTGCATCGTCTACGAGCACCTCCCCGGCGGCTCCCTCCACGAGCGCCTCAGCAAGAACCCCGCCAAGCCGTGGGCCCCGCTGACGTGGCATGACCGCATCCGGATCTCGTGCGAGCTGGCAGCGGCGCTAGTCTTTCTCCACTGCCACGACCCGCCCATCGTGCATGGGGACCTGCGCCCGGAGAACATCCTGCTGGACCGCAACAGGCGCAGCAAGGTGGGCGACGTGGGCATTGCGCAGTTCGTGGGGCAGGGCGAGGTGCTGCCGGAGACGTGGCGGCTGTCGGGGTCGGTGAGGTACATCGACCCCTCTGAGATGCAGACAGGAGAGGTGACGGGCAGGAGCGACGTGTACGCGCTGGGGCTCATCATGCTGCAGCTGCTGCTGGGGCAGCCCAACATCCGCGCGCTGCACAAGCACCTCATGCCCTTCAAGCGCGCCGGGGGCACGGTGGAGGCGGCAGTGGAGGAGCTCATGTGCTGCCTGGACCCTGCTGCGGGGATCTGGCCGAGGAAGGTGGCGGAGAGGGCGCTGGGCATGGCGCTGCTGTGCGTGATGCAGGATGCGGAGGCTCGGCCGGACTTTGTGGGGAGTGTGTTCCCCGAGCTGAAGCACGTTGGGCAGTGGGCAGAGGCGGAAAAAAGGCGGCGGTGCCCGGGGCAGGACGAGAAACTCATGTGCCCGCTGAGCAAGGTGAGTCGGCAGTGAGCTGGTTGGGCCTTGGGATTGAGCACGGCGAGAAGCTCACGTGCTGCTGAGCACGGCGAGAAGCTCACGTGCTGCTGAGCACGGTGAGAAGCTCGCGTGCTGCTGAGCACGGCGAGAAGCTCGCGTGCTGCTGAGCACGGCGAGAAGCTCACGTGCTGCTGAGCACAGTGACTCTGGTGCAACTAGTTTCCTCGTGTGGAAGTCAAAGACTTGGTATTCGAAGCCGCTATGCCTTGTGATAGTCACTCACAATTGCACTCTCTGCCTTCCTCCTCACCCTGTGTACATCCTTGTCATTGTGCCACGTGTGTGCTGCCTGACAGACGCGAATGCAGGATCCTGTGATTGCCCCCGATGGGTACACCTACGAGAGGCGCTTCATCGAGGATTGGCTGAAGGAAAACACTGTCTCGCCCAAGACTGGCAAGCAACTGCCGCACAAAGCGCTGGTTCCCAACCTTACTGTACTTGCCTTTGTGAACAGCTAGTTATGTACAATACTTGCTATGCTTTCGTGTGCTGTACAATGCAATGATTCCGGACTGATTGGGTTGGGTACACACATTTTTTTGTACAGCATTAGACGTGGAAGTAGTGTAAGCATGTCAGCTGATGAAAGCTGCTGTTTCGGCTCTTGCGCAGGGTTCCCGCAAACGAGTACAAATCCATTTGCCAATGCATGCGAGCCACGGCTCCTGCGTTCCTTGCTTGCACAAAACTCGCAGGCGCCATCCCCGCAGTCCACAGAGAGTAGCTCCCCGAACGGGCGAGCGGGAGAGGACATTCTGCTTTGCTGGTAACCGCATTTAATCGAGTCGCATAGCATCCCACCTCGCAGTCCCTGGAACGCAAGTCATCGACGCCCGAGGCTTCCGCCCAGATGCGTCCAGACTCTAGACCCACACCGGCCGACTGCATCCTTGCCGTCTCGCAGCCGTCTCGCACGTCCTGAGTCAGCTTCGCTCAAGATTCCGCCGCGCGGTCACCCTTTGAGGCGAGGGCGTGATGGCGCTGCTTCGCCCGCACACCGCGCACGGAATCGCGTCGAAACCCCTCCTAACAGCGCTCCCCGATTCGTCTCCGCTACAATGCTCCCCGCTAAACGACGCATTCGCCCTGCTTCCCGCGCATTCCTCGGACCATGTCGTATCCCGCGCCATTTGGCCGTTGACCGCACGCAGTTCCCAGAGCGCAAGAGCGAGCACACGCACAAGCACAGAAGGGCCGCCGTTTCTCTCTTCTCGCCGACAGCATCCCCGATGTCCCGGCACCGGTATTGCCGGTGCGAGGTATGCCAGATACGCCACGGATGCGCACAGAAGAAACTGGCGAGCAGGGACGGCCTTCTCCACTTCCGAGAATTCTGGCAACGCGGATGAGTCTGAGCCGTTGATTATTGAAGACGCGGATTGCGTGGTGGTAGGCGCGGGGGTATCGGGCCTCTCAGCCGCATTCGCGCTAGTAACGAAGCACGCCGCTACAGTGCCGCGCGTGCTTGTAACGGAGGCACGGGACCGCGTGGGAGGCAATGTGACTACAGTGGAGGGAGAGGCGGGCACGGAGCGGGAGGGGTACGTGTGGGAGGAGGGGCCGCACAGCTTCCAACCCAGCGATGCCATGCTGCAATGCGCTGTGAGTTACCTTGTTACCTGGTTACCATGCTGCAATGCGCTGTGAGTTACCTTGTTACCTGGTTACCATGCTGCAATGCGCAGTGAGTAACATTGTTACCCTGCTCCACCCCGCCTCTCTTCTTTCCTGCCCCCCTCCCATTTGCCATGCCCCACCCCACCCTACCCCAGCTACAGCGTGGCATTCTCCCCGACCTTGTGCTCGCTGCTCCCTAAGCTCCCTCCTCCCTCCTCCTTCTCTCTCCCCGGCCATCCCACCCGGTCTCCTCCCCTTCCTCCACCGACCGCACTCCTCCCCTTTCCTCCAATCCGCAGCTAGAGTGCGCTATTCTACCAAACCTCGTGCTATTCTACCAAACCTCGTGCTATTCTACCAAACCTCGTGCTATTCTACCAAGCCTCGTGCTATTCTACCAAACCTCGTGCTATTCTACCAAACCTCGTGCTCTTCTACCAAACCTCGTGCTATTCTACCAAACCTCGTGCTATTCTACCAAACCTCGTGCTATTCTACCAAACCTCGTGCTATTCTACCAAACGTGCTCTTCTACCAAACCTCGTGCTATTCTACCAACCTCGTGCTATTCTACCAAACCTCGTGCTATTCTACCAAACCTCGTGCTATTCTACCAAACCTCGTGCTATTCTACAAACCTCGTGCTATTCTACCAAACCTCGTGCTATTCTACCAAACCTCGTGCTATTCTACCAAACCTCGTGCTATTCTACCAAACCTCGTGCTATTCTACCAAACCTCGTGCTATTCTACCAAACCTCGGCTATTCTACCAAACCTCGTGCTATTCTACCAAACCTCGTGCTATTCTACCAAACCTCGTGCTATTCTACCAAACCTCGTGCTATTCTACCAAACCTCGTGCTATTCTACCAAACCTCGTGCTATTCTACCAAACCTCGTGCTATTCTACCAAACCTCGTGCTATTCTACCAAACCTCGTGCTATTCTACCAAGCCTCGTGCTATTCTACCAAGCCTCCGTGCTATTCTACCAAGCCTCGCTGCTATTCTACCAAGCCTACCAGCTGCTATTCTACCAAGCCTCGTGCTATTCTACCAAGCCTCGTGCTATTTCTACCAAGCCGTGCTATCTACCAAGCCTCGTGCTATTCTACCAAGCCTCGTGCGATTCTACCAAGCCTCGTGTCGCTGCTTCCGGACTCTTCATGCGGCCTTTCCCTGGCAGCCCATGCAGTCCCCCCCCCATCCCCCCCCCCTCCTCTTCCCACCCCCTTTGCCATGCCCCACCCTTCCCAACTCGGCTGTGGTGTTCGCAGCCTCGTGCTCCACCCCCTCCCTTCCTCTCCCCCTTCCCTTCTCATGCCGCACCACTCCCATGGCGCGCCCCTCCCACCCCCCACCCCCGTTCCAGCTCGACTGTGGCATTCTCCCCGACTTGTGCTCGGAGCTCCTGACGCTCCCCGCTACGTCTTTTGGGACGGCAAGCCTGCGTCCCATTCCCTCGGGCCCCGGCGATCTGATCTCCTCTGACCTGATCACGCTGGGAGGGAAGCTACGGGCAGCACTGGGGTTCGCAGGGGTCAGAGTAGCCCAGGTGGGAAGCAGCCCAGGTGGGGAGCAGCCCAGGTGAGGCACCACTACTGACTGGGGCTTTCCAGTAAGTTGCTCTTTGGGCTTTCCAGTAAGTTGCTCTTTGGGCTGTATCACCCATGAGTGCATTGCATGTCCGCCCTGCACCCACCCCCCCGGTGCCAGCAGGCAGCCAGCAGCACGGAGGAGAGCGTGTCGGAGTTTGTGTCTCGCATCCTCGGCCCTCAACTGCTGCACCGACTGGTCGACCCCTTCTGCTCCTGTGATGATTCCTCCTCTCTGGTGTAGAGTGTGCTCCCCTCGCTTCTGCTTTCGTACTCACTCCACCCCGTCAGTATTTACATCTCCACGCCCCCTTGCTTCCTATCTTTGCAACCCAATCAACTTGGAATCAGATTCTTATGCAGCGGCCTTGCTTCTTGCCATCCACGACCCGTTCCTCAACCAAGCAGCCCTTCCTTCCACATTCCATGGCATACGCAGCAACTCAACCATATCAAGCAAGCGGTATTCACAGTTTCCAATACAACCATCCCGCCCTTCCCCTCTCTCCCACTACTGTCCCCCCCCACCCCCTCCCCGCCCCTTCCCCCCTGCAGGCATATTCGCAGGGGATGCAGCGCAGATGAGCATGCGGGCAGCGTTCAACCGCATATGGCGCATGGAGGCGGAAGGGGGGCTCGCTGCTGAATGGAATGGTGCAGCTGGCGCAGGAGAGACGAAGGCGAAGGAGAGTGCTGCGCCTCGCAACCCGTAAGTGCGTTCAACGGATCATGGCACATAGAGGATGGCGCTGGGCGACAGACTGCAGATCTGGGAGGAGAAGAGGAAAGAGAAGGAGAAGGAGAAGGAGAAGGAGAAGGAGAAGGAGAAGGAGAAGGAGAAGGAGAAGGAGAAGGAGAGAGAAGGAGAAGGAGAAGGAGAAGGAGAAGGAGAAGGAGAAGGAGAAGGGAGAAGGAGAAGGAGAAGGAGAAGGAGAAGGAGAAGGAGAAGGAGAAGGAGAAGGGAGAAGGAAGAAGGAGGGAAGGGAAGGAGAAGGGAAGGAGTCCGGCAAAGCCTGTTGGCGACACTGCGACTGCATCGCTGAGTAAATCACTGCGACTGCATTGCTGCACCGCGTCTGCACCACATGCCATCACCCACCACTTCCCATCGCCTCTCAACCCCTTGTTCTCCCTTCATTATACCCCACGCGCCTTTCCCTCTGGCACCTTCCCCCATCCCCAACCACCCCCTTTCGTCCATCCTCCCTCCTCGTGCACCTGTCTCCCAACGGCGCTGGGCCAGTGGGTGGGTTTCTTTCCGCTCAGGGCTGGTCTCTGCCGCACCTTCTCGTCTCGTTCCCCATGTCCGTCTGCCTTCGCTCCACTCCCCCAGCCTCCGCTCATCCCCTCCGTGCAGCCGTCTCCCCGCGCCTCACAGCCAAGCAGGGGGTTCTTTGTGCACAGGGCTCGCCCCTCTCACGCCGTCTCCTTTCTCTCCCCATGTCCGTCGGTCTGTGCTTCCTCCCCCCAACCTCCCCTCCCCACACGTGCAGCCGTCTCCCCAAGCCTCAGGCCAATCAGTGGGCTCCTTTCGATCAGGGCTCGTCACTCTCACGCGTGCCATGGCTGAAAGGTAGGCTTGGGTAGCAGGAATGGCAGCACTGGCTGGGTTTGGGCTTGGGAGCAGGGGGCGTGTGGGGTGGCAACTGGAGGGCTTGCTGAAGCAGCGGGGAGGGGCCGGGCGTGCTGCCCATTGTAGGACCTCACGACCCAATCCCTCTCCTCCGCTCACCTGCCCCTCGTTCTGACAGGCTTGGCAGCAGAGTGCGTGTGGGGTGTATTTTTGAGGCGCCTCAAAAATAGACTCCTCACGCATGGTTTTGAGGCGCCTCAAAAATAGACTCCTCACGCATGGTTTTGAGGCGCCTCAAAAATAGACTCCTCACGCATGACAGGCTTGGCAGCAGAGTGCGTGTGGGGTGGCTGCTGGTGGGATCGCAGCAGTGGCCAGAAGGGGGGGGGGTTGTTGACCTACGGCACGCCATGCCACAACAAACCATTCAACCCCCCCCCTTCAACCTGCCTCTCCCTCCCCTCCGCTCCCCCAATCCCCCACCCCCTCCTCCTCCCCCCTCCTCTCCCCACCCGCCCACCCTTTGCTTCCCCTTTCCGCCCCTTACTTGCCACAGGCTAGGCAGCAGAGTGCGTGTGGGGTGGCGGCTGGTGGGCGTGCAGCAGCGAGCACAAGGGGGGTTGTTCTGACCTACGACACGCCACATGGCACAACACAAGTGGCTGCTCGCTCTGTGCTGCTAACCGTACCTGCTTATGTTGCTGCTGACGTCATCAGGCCATTCTCTGTGAGGGTCACAGGTCCTTCTCAGTTCCTTCTCAGTTCCTTCTCAGCTCCTTCTCAGTTCCTTCCGTCTGTGTTCTCCCTTCCATCCTTCACCACCACCCCCCACCCCCCCAAATGGCATCTTTTGCGCTTCCATACCCCTCCTGCTGCAGCATACCCTTTTCCCATGCATCCATCCATCCATCCATCCATCCATCCATCCATCCATCCATCCATCCATCCATCCATCCATCCATCCATCCATCCATCCATCCATCCATCCATCCATCCATCCATCCATCCATCCATCCATCCATCCATCATCCATCCATCCATCCATCCATCCATCCATCCATCCATCCATCCATCCATCCATCCATCCATCCATCCATCCATCCATCCATCCATCCATCCATCCATCCATCCATCCATCCATCCATCCATGGCTTCTGTGGCGCTCTATAAACACCTCTCTCCACCCAAAGCCCTTCTCCCTCCCCAGCCCACAGCCGTTGCTGCCCTAGCCGTCATCCCACCCGCCCAAGGAATCCGTGGTGCTCTTGCACCCAGCTAAGCTACTCGACCTGAACCACCATGCCACCCCTTCCCTATTTCTCCCCCCCCTCCTCCCCCCCCAGCCCACAGCAGCAGATGCACTTACCGCCATTCCCTACCCGCCCATGGCGTCCGTGGCGCTGTCGTACCCAGCCACTGCTGTGAGGGAGGGGGCGGAGAAGGCAGGGGAGCTAAGGGGGTATGGGCAGCTGCACCCGAGCTCGCAGGGGCTGGCGACTCTGGGTGAGTGTGTGAGGGGGTTGGGGAATGTGGGAGTGAGGGAGCAGGAGTGGCCACACAGCAAGGGGTGAGCACGGCAGGGTAGAGTCTAGGGAGAGAAGGCGTGGATGGGGGAAAAAACTGGAAGGGGAGCAAAAGGAATGACAAGGCAATTAGAGCTCGAGGCAAAGAGATGATTGCCGGAGTTTCCAATATTTTCGT